TTAAACTCTGGCGTGTTGAGTTAGTATGTTGAGTTAAACTCTGGTGTGTTGAGTTAGTATGTTGAGTTAAACTCTGGCGTATTGAGTTAGTATGTTGAGTCAAACTCTGGCGTATTGAGTTAGTATGTTGAGTTAAACTCTGGCGTGTTGAGTTAAACTCTGGCGTGTTGAGTTAAACTCTGGTATGTTGAGTTAGTATGTTGAGTTAAACTTTGGCCTGTTGTGTTAGTATGTTGAGTTAAACTCTGGTATATTTCGTTAGTATGTTGAGTTAAACTCTGGCGTGTTGAGTTAAACTCTGGCGTGTTGAGTTAACCTCATCTTTTACAATAATTCACTTAAACTGTGTGCCAGTGTTCATGACAGTATTTGTTTTTATATGAAGTAGTTAAAAGAAATAATCTAAAGTTATAACAAAAAAGGTTAAATCATTTCAAAGTTATCATTGGTTCTAATTTCACTTTGTGATATGTTACTTTTTTGTTTTGAATTTTATATCAAATCTGTCTACAAAGAGGATGTTGCGCTGCAGATGTTCATTTAACAAAAGAGAATAATTTGTCCTAAAAATGAACATTTTGCAGTATTGGTGCACATTCAGTGTAAATGAACTTTCAGCTTTGGGAAATGTAAAACATTTAGAAAGTTTTTGTCTTAATTAATACAAATTATTTTATTTTGTGTGCAGTGTTTGTCATGACCTGTAAGGCTCCTATTTACATGGGCCCAGAGTACATCAAGTACTTCAATGACAAGACCATCGACGTGAGTTTTAATTTGAAAGTCAAATGTTTATGATTGTATTAGTTGTAAATTAGGGCGAACTGATCACGTCCTGGAGTTGATGGACATGTTTCGGTTATTTGTTTTTGTGTAATTAGGAGGAGCTGCAGAGGGACGGTCGTATCATGTGGATAGTCGAGTTCTACGCCAACTGGTCCTCCGATTGTCAGTCCTTCGCTCCCATCTTTGCCGACCTCTCTCTCAAGTAAGAAATCTGCTCATTCCCCGCCGTTCGCTCCAGCGTACAAGCGTTTTACGCTCCTCGTCTTTGTAAACTGAACGTCCTAAACCAGACAACTTTTTTGAGGGGATAAATTTAATTTACAATCAACCTTGAATGCTAAATGCAGCTGATCACGTTAATAATAAGAGGGCGAAAATGATGGAAGTGTGGGTAAAACGTCCACCGTTATTGCTGAGTAAGAAACAGTCACGTGCTGATCAGCGAATATGCTGGTTTGAAGCTTTCAGGAGAAAACACTAGAAAGATTAGTCATAATTTGAAAGCCTTCGAGACAGCTGAGGTCCAAATCTTTCCCGGCGTGTTCATGGCAGCACAGCTTAGGTTTCATAAGTTGCATCTAAAAAAATAAATAAACATTTTGGAAGATGTTGCATAGATGAGAGACAAACAAATGGCACAGACGCTGCGTGCTCACTATAAAGCACAGAGGTGGAGAGCTGATGATTTGGGCTTGTTTTGCCGCCACAGGACCAGGGCACCTTCCAGTCGAGTTCTGCGTAGGACTGGGCGATATGAACCAAAATTAATATCTCAATATTTTAAGATAAATTGCGATACACGATGTATATCTCAATTTTTTTTTCTCCATAAAGTAATAAAGATATATTTCTGAGTCAAAGCTTTGTCCCAACTGTCACAGGCACATTTATTAACAAACATCTGTAACTGTACAAAATAAATGTCTAAAATAAACTATTTACATATATTAAATAATCTCACAACGTTACTAAGCGTGTGTTGAGCAGCACTTGAGGGGCTGTTTGTATTCAGTCAGGGAGGAGGGGCCGCGTGAAGTCAGCGGTGCAGACAAAGGAGAACTACTGTACACAGATTTTCAAGTCTAATACTCGATGGTTGCGATAGAGCCATTTTAACAATTGTAAATTGAAAAACTCGCAATACATCGAGTATATTTGATAAATCGCCCAGCCCTACTTAAGTGTTCAAATGTAGCTGTTCCCAAAGCGGAGGTCAGGACCTCACTGAGTCACAAAACACCAGGTTTGATGTCCTGAACTGAGCTCCAGAAGTCGAATATAAAACTCAGACCAGCATATTTTTACTAGTCTCGTTACAAATGATAACAGTGAGAACAAAGGAGAGTAAGATGAGTTTAATCGATTTGTGTCGTCATAATTTTACTTTTTTAGTGACATTTGTAGGGTTCGGTTCAAAAAAAGGATTTTTTTTTTTTTAAAGGTCAGAAGTGAAAAGTTTGGAAAGCTCAGTCCAAACTGGGTCGTGCAATAATCATAATTAAACGCACAGCAGCCAGTCCTCAACAGAACGGCACCGGAACGTTTTGTAACAAACCAATCCAAGAACTGAGACAACAGTTTCTCTACGAGGTGTTGATTTTGTTTCAAGTTTTGTTCTGTTAAAACTCAAAAGCTTTAGCTTGCTAGATTTAATTCACTATAAGCTCAAGATTATTTTTAATGCATCTCATTTGACGTTTGGGATGATTTAAGTGAATACATTTTTGGCCTAACTGCACCAAACGCCTCTCGTCTTCTACAGGTACAACTGTGCAGGTCTCAGGTTTGGAAAAGTAGACATCGGTCGCTACGGAGAGGTTTCACAGAGGTCTGTTTTTATTTTCTGACTCCCATCATGCTTCCTTAAATCCACAGGATGATTCTTTTCCTTTAGAAATGTAACTTTTTGACAGATTTTCTATAAACGAGCAGTAACCGCTCCGTTTCTCAACAGGTACAAGGTCAGCACGTCTCCTCTGGCCAAGCAGCTGCCCTCACTGGTGCTGTTTCAAGGAGGGCGGGAGGTTCTGAGACGTCCAATGGTGGACAAGAAAGGGAGAGCCGTCTCCTGGACTTTCAATGAGGTCGGTTTTTGTGTGTGCTTGTAACGAACACAGAGAAGGTTCTGTCTGTGTGTGACCGGCTTACAAATGATGCCTAACACTGGAAAACCTTTTCACTCGTAGGAGAACATCATCCGAGAGTTTAATCTCAACGAGCTTTTCCAGAAATCCAAGAAGCTGAACAAAAGTATCGCTACGAAGGAGGAGAGTGGGTCTTGGGCACAAGAGGGCAGCGAAGATCTTCCCGAGGAAACAAAGGAGCCGGAGCAGCCGACAGAAAGCAAAAAGGATCAGTGAAGAGGATAATACTTTGTTTAGTTTCACTCATTTCATCTTTGTAGGAATCAAAAATGTTAACATTTGTCCCTTTCAGCCGCACGTTAACCTGTCCTGTTTACCTCCAAATCAAAGTAAAACCTGAAACAGACGAGAGTCACAACACTTTCGGTTTGACCTTTTTATTCTGAGAAGACATCTTCTTGAAAACTCTTGGTAAGGCCATATTGGAAATGTATTTGATGTATTCGTTACAGATATTTGTGAAACTCGTTCTGTCCGTTACAGCAACGTTTGATCTGAGCAGTTCACTTGCTTACACGCACGACGTTTCAGATTGTTCAGAGGTCACGATCTTCGGCTAAAGCAGGAAAATTCTTGATGTTTTGTGCAATTGAGGATGTTTCTTTTTTTTGTCGCCTGCACATTTAAAAACTAGGTGGGTTGATTATCACAAGAACGCACGCCTGTGAAGCAGTCGGCACAACAAAACAAAATAAACACATGCCAACCAGAGACAAAGGCTGGTTGGGTTCAAAACTTGCAACACGGTTGTTTGAGCCAATTCATGTGTGTGCTTCCACAGATGTGCCACGTTCACACAGCTCTAACTTTCTACTGCACAAAAAATAAATAAAAACGAACTAATCCCCAAACCAGAAGAAAAACATCTGTTTACAGGTCCCTCTTGTAAATGAGTCCTCGTGGCTCAATGAGGCTAGCCTGTATAAATAAAGGTTGAATGAATGAAAAAAGATCATTTCTACATGTGGCAGAGGACAAAACAAAAGATTTACAGTATTTATATAAACATAAACTGATTTAAAAACTAATTTTGCTGTATGTGTATTTAAAAAAAAAAATGTAAAAAACAAACTAATAAAACTGACCACTGTGAATGGCTTCAAGGCAAAATCCAAACAGCAAACCAGATCTCCAGTTTTATTTATTATGGTCTGCTTATAAAATATCTCCAGGTTTTTTTATTTTATTTTTTCCTCCTCAGTGAAATAAATAAGCCCTTCTCTCTCGCCGCTTCCTATTTGGCTACAACACCCATTTAAAGTGGCTAATATTTTTACTGATTGACAGATTCAAAACGAGAAGGGAAAATGAAGATTAAAAGGACAACGGTTGTAAAGCTACGAACAGATTTTTGCATAAACACGACAAGCGTACATTCCACAAAGATGCTTGTGCTGCGGTTGTGAGAATCAAAATTTCTTTGTGGCTTAAAAAAAAAAATTAATAATCAGCCACTTCTGGTGTCCATCAACATCATCGTTTTCTTCGGATGATGAAAATCCTTGCAAGTGGCTGATGCAGCCATTGATTATTTAAAAAACAGCCGACCAATCTGAAACTGCTTTCAAGAGGGAGAACATCCAGAACATCTGCTCTCATCAACAGTCTTGACGGCTCGACTCAATAATCTGTACTTGTTTTTTTTACATTTATATAAAATGATATCTTAAAAAATATAAAACGTAAATGATGCGGTGTTTGAAGGTCCTGCATGTGGTCCGTTCAGATGTTTTGATTGGTCAGCAGTTTTCTTCTCTTGTGGATAAAGACCGTCCTCATTAATTCTCTGAGTCTTAATGTACCAAAGTCAAGTGCTGAATCGTGGAACCGTCGCTCGTGGTTTAAAGATCTGTACCCGGCCGTGGCGATTTCAGTTTATGGCTCACAGAGTGGTTGAGTGTAGAGTTGACCCTGGGGAAAATGAATCCTTTCCTCCAGTTTCTTTGTCCAGAGGATCGGCCAGCTTCATTTCAAAAGACGGAGTGAGCGTTAGACGGGCACGACCCCTCGAGTCCAACAGAACATCAGAGGCCTTCACTCATGAATAATATCCAGCTTAGAAAAGAGGGGAAAGTGCAAGCTGTCCTCTGATGTCCTCTCCTCTGTGATGGACCCTGTGTGATGTTTGTCACTCAGACCGATATCTCATATGTGGTCCCTCCGACGCCGGTGACCTTCTTCACCCCGCCCCCTGGTTTAGGCGTGCTGTGATTGGCCAGGACTGGACGAGAGGTGGATCTGATTGGACATCCGTTCAGAGAGGGAGGAGAGGAGAAACAAGAGGTGGAAGTGAGAAGGTTAAACATTTAAGAGTAGACACTAGCAGCTAATTTCTCTACCTTGATCATCGTGAACACTACTTGTTGTCGAGTCAAAACAAAAATAAGCCGCAGGACGGAGAATCAAAATAAATTGCACCAAGACTGGAGCTGACCACATGCTGGCATGCTTCTAACATTAATCTACCCATGTCTGAACTAATAACGCTCTCATACAGACAAGTGAACAAGCAGAGACTGAAGTATGTAGGAGGAAGAGGAAGACTCACACAGATCAGGGAGGAAGAGGAGTGCTGACACAAACCAGGAAAGAAAAACCAGAAAAAGGAGAAGAGTGGCAGGCTGAAGAATCTGCTGACGGATCACTACTCACTGTGCAGCCTGTTGCCCTCCTCCCCCTCCCAGCACAGCGCCGCCGCCTCCTGCGGGCCGAAGCTTATGCTGAAGCCCGGCCTCCCCCGTGTAGGACGGGGACTTGGAGAGGGAGAGGCCGCGAGGCGGTGGTGAGACTGGGGGCTCGAGTGAGCGAACCCCAGGGGAGGAAGAGGACGAGTTACGAGTGTTTCGGGGGGTGAGGTCCTGGTTATGATGGAGCAGGTGATGGGTCTCAGGAGGCACCAGGGAAGAGGGGGAGGTTGGGCCGACGGCACGCAGGTAGGCCCTGTGGGGGGAGGAGAAAGTGGTGGAGCCCTGGAGCAGCTGCCCCTCCCTCTGCTGAGCGATCTGAGCCGAGAGGAAGGGCGACGTGTAGCCCTGCAGCGGGCTGCTGGGTGACACGCCCTCCGGGTGTCCCGTCGCCGTCAACGATTGAAACAGACCGCGAGGCTTCAGCGGCGACAGCTCGTGGGCAGCCGACTCGAACTCTGGGCTCTCGGATGGCGTCAGCAGACTGTCGTAGGACAGGCTGCCATTCCGAGGCGTCTGATTGGCTAGGCTTTTGTAGCTGGTGTCTGTGGTGCCTTCTGACTGGAGCGTGGCCAGCGGGTTGTGTACAGTCTGGGCTGAACGCAGGCTGGACGAGCGGGAGCCGCCAGTGGACAGAATCAGCGAGGATGGGTAGGAGGTGTAGGAGCGCCCAGTCAGGGAGTAACCCGACACGCCCCCAGACACCACACCAGCAGTCCCACCAGGGCCTCCGGGGCCTTCACCCCTCTCCCCTCCCCCTCTGCGCACCCCTACACCTCCTCCCACCACCGTGGCCCCGTCCAGGCTGCTCGGCTCCGAGCGGTAGCTGGGCTGGCGGCTGGACTGGAGGATGGAGGGAGACGGAGAGTCAAGACTCTCCCCACGGGTCATCTGAGAAGGAAGAAAAAGACCAAAAGCAGACAAAAAGAGGAGGAACAAATGAGGAGGTGCAGCGTGATGAAAACTACCATTTTATCTTAAAAGGAGAAGACACTAAAGGAAGAACAGGAGTGGTGGGGAGCGTTGGATGCTTGACTCCATCATCACACTACTGAAGTCTGAACAGACTGTTTGGACACTGCATGTCAAAGACTGTGTGCGTGTCGACACTTAAATGGAGTTACAGAAACTAATGATACATGAACTTCACATTCCAGTCAATGCAGTCTCAGGGGGGAGGATAGAGCCACTCAGACACACAAAGGGAAACAGTGAGACTTACTGCTCAACCGGTGGCCACTGAACGGTCAATTTAAAGCAAAAACAAAAGGAAGGGCATTTATTAACCACAAATGAACCAGAACACAAGCAGCCCAATCAGTAAAGTTAAGACACAGGTCGGCATCTGATCTGCTCAACGCCTCTTTCAGTGCAAGGAAATAAAAACTCTCATCCGTCTAAAATTAGGTTGCTTTGTCAAAACAATAACAGTTCATCTTAAAAAAATGTATATATTTTGTGTTTGATCAGTTTCTTTCCTGGGTGATTGTTTCCTTTGCTCTGCAGCAGGCACACAACACGCTGCGAATCAACACCACCGAGTGGTTTGACCTCTACTATTTAAATGTACCTTGTTTGGGTGAGCGGGGGCAGCGTGGTTCCTTCCTGGGCTGCTGTAGGCTGGCCGGTACTTGTACATTGACGGAGTAGGTGGAGCCTCGGTCAACAAGCTGCTCTCTGTGTGACCAGGAACCAGAGGAGACGTTTAAAAGGTGATTTTACGATCAGTAAACAATCTGTTTACACTGTAAAACACTTGTCAACAACAAAATATACATGAACTTTTATACAACTGGGTCTTGGGAGTTAGACTGAGAATATTGAAAACAATTAGACAAATTTAGGACTGTTACTACAGATTCATGTGCCAACACACCACCTCCGAACTGACATAAATAACAGCAAAATTGTGTTTTCTGAAAGTAGACACAATGAAATGCATTCTTAAGAGGCAACTTTTCAAAGTTTCAGGTTTTTAATGTTTTCTGACAACAAAAAGAAAAATAACAATAAGAGCAAATTTACTGAAAATTTAGCCACAACAGGACAAAACAAAAGAGCACAAAGGGAAAAAAGTATCCACCAGATTTTACCACGAGAACTGTCAACATACACCAAGTGCTGCATCACATGAACCAATATTTAACAACTATATACTTCAGGAAAAAACTACTTGAGATAATTTACAGTCTGATTATAAACTTAAGTTCAGATTTTTTTGTAAATCATGAGCCACAGACATAAATTAGGTTTTAACCCGTGGGCACTAAAACTTAAACTAGCTCTAGTGAAGTGTGAATTGTTTAAGTTAAAAGACAGAAGACGACCTGAGACCATAGGGCTGGACGATATGGCTAAAACTTTTGTCATGACATATTTCTTAATTTCGGTGGATAACGTTATAATTCCGATAGATATAAACAATATAAAAGCCTCAGAAAAACTGTACAAATAAATTAATGTTCACGTTTATTTGTATTTAGCCTTCAAAATAAATTTGAAATCACCGTCAAATAAACATAAAACCCTCAACTTTGTCAATATTAATAGTTTTAACTTTAAAAAACAACATAACCTAACAACCCATACAGCAAATTTCTGTTTGCTGCATGAGTTTCTCTTCTGATACAGTTGGGGGTGTTGTTTCAGGGACACGTTGGCTCAAACTTTTATTGTGCTTCATCTTCCGACTCAGTCGAGTGGAAACTCTTAGATGTGTTCCCAGCACTAGTTGGAACGAATCTCCGTCACATTTTGCAGCACACCGAAACCTGCAGTTTATCGGATCTTAGAAAGCCGAACCACTTCCACACCACCGAATTAGTCTTTCCTCACTTATCAATTATGTCATCTGCTTTATCTTCGCTTGTGAAACCTTGTTCAGTCACATTCTGACGGTCATGGGCACTCACTTTGAAGCGAAAACTTGCTGCGCGTTGGAGATTAGCCTAGCCTAGCCTGCTACCGCTGACTCTTTCTGGACTCGAGCGCTGCGTAACATCTACGTCACCACGCACTTACGTAGTTATGTCGCAGCTTTTTCTGTTTGAGTTGAAACGGCTGCCGGTTGAAGCGTCCGCTTCAACCCAAACAGAAAAAGAAATGTGTCAAAGAGTCACAATGTTTCTCACCTTCTGTCTCGGCACGGGGTAGGCCGGGATAACGAAGATCTGGCTTGGGAGGAGGTGGAGGCTCTGCATCAGCTGACTGGCTCTCCATATGATCTAGACTGCTCTTGGACTGGAAAGACACACAGTTAAAGGTTTAGGGTGCATTAGACTGACAACAGAACTGAATCGACAAGGGTACTGCATACGGCACATTATACGCTCATTGACAAAATATTATTCAGAAATCTAGAGCAATGGCCCGGATGAGCAAAGACCTTGAGTAACATTTGAGCCTGATTTCTGACCTTGACCTTTGAGCTGGAGTGATGAAAAGTGTACATGACGCTGCCTAGTGATGATGAGTGTGTATGAAGTTCCATTAAATTATCTTCAACAGTTACAGGCAGGACAGAAGAAAATTTACGGACATATGGGACTATATCATAACACTCTCCGCCTTTAACGGGCGTATACAAACCAGGAACTGAAAGGTGAGGCTGTTTGACACGAAGGGCTTCAGCAAGATAAAAAGAATAAACAGTATAACACGGGGGTTACCAACCTTTTTTGCACCACGGACCAGTTTTATGTAAGACCATTTTTCCACAGACCAGCAGCAGGGGTGTGAGTGTGAAGTCACACACACAACTAAACACATTAATTATTACAACAATAATTTAAATATAATTTTACATTTTATAATTTCATTTCTATTATTTTGCTATTTATTTCATATATCATTTAATATAATGCAGCTCCTTAACCACTTGGTAAGCCACTAAATATGATGCTCTTAGTAAAGACATTTAATGAAGTGGTGGTCTTCACTGACAGTTTCTGATCTTCGTATTCACCTTTTTTATTTCAAAACCATCTAAAAACTTGCTTTTTAATGAAGGGTGTTTAGTCTCTGTGTGATGAAGCCGTTTTGAAGGCTTTGGGGCTTCATCACAACATATCACAGAGCGCTCCGAGCGTGAGATGCACCTGATGCAATGAACCCACAATTTAGGTCAGCCTCCTGGTGTTTTCTTTTAAATGCAGCTTTTATGCAGCATTCTGCTGTTTCATCTTTAGGCCTTTTCATTATTCATCTTTAATAGATGAGAATAAAAATAACCCCAGGTTTCTGTGCAGTACTATAGGTAGACTAATGAAAAGTCCTATCTCTGTTGAGTCATGTATCCCTACAACTATAAGCAGTGATGAATTCATGAGATTCATTACAAATAAAATTATTTCAATTAGAAAGAAAATTCACACCATCCTTCCTACTATCGCCTCTGGTTCACAGTCAGATGAGGCAACTTTAGAAATACATCACTAGAACCTGATTTATTGAATGTTGGTGTTTATGAATGTTTTTGTACAGTGCCCCTAGACAACTTTTGTTTCGATTTGGCACTATATAAATAAACTGAACTGAATTCATGTTTGGACTGTTTTTGTCTTGATGTGCTCTCTGAATTTTCAAAATTAATAGCTTCATCCAAACCACCAACATGTCTGCTAAATCCCATCCCAACCAGACCGTTTAAAGCGGTATTTCCCCATATTAATATTTTGGATTTGTTTATTTTGTCTCTAATGGTGATGTACCACAGAGTTTTAAGGTTACTGTAATTAAACCTTTACTTAAGAAACCTAATCTTGATTCAGGAATTCTGGCCAAATATAAACCTATATCTATTCTAACATTCGTCTAAAAAATTCTGAAGAAAATATCAGTAGGTGCAGGTCAGTTGTGTGATTATCTGAACAGAAACAATCTGAGGAGTTTCAATCAGAGTTTAGAGCTCATAGCACAGAGGCAGCACTGGTGAAAGTAACCAATGATATTCTCATGGTCTCTGACAATGGACATGTGTCTACACTGGTCCTGTTAGACCTCAGTGCTGCATTTGATACAGTTGATCACAATATTCTACTACAGAGGCTTGAATATGATGTTGGAATTACAGGAATGGCTCTAATAGTTTAAATCATATTTATTTGATAGACTCCAGTTTGTAAATGTAAATAATGAATCTTCTTTATATACCAAAGTTGCTTATGGAGTTCCTCAGGGTGCATTGCTTGGACAAATAATCTTTACTTTATATATGCTTCCATTCGATAAAGTTATTAAACAGCATAAGATGCATTTTCATTGTTATACTGATGGTATGCAGTTACATTTGTCCATGAAACCCAATGAATCCAATCATTTACTTAGATTGCAAGCATGTCTTAAAGACATAAAAACCTGGATGACCCTTAATTTTCTGCATTTAAACTGAGACAAGACATAGGTTGTCGTTTTAGGAACTGAGCATCTTAGGAATAAGTGTTGCTGTCTTTCACTTTCTCTGGATGGTATTAATTTTGTCTCCAGTTCTAAAGTTAAAAACCTTGGGTGTTATTTTTGATCATAATCCCCACATGAAAATGTTACCAGAACTGACTTCTTCCACCTGCATAATATCGCTAAATTAGAAACATCTTGTCTAAAATTTATGCAGAAAAACTGGTTAATGGTATTTGTCACGTCTACACTGGACTATTGCAATGGTTTGTTATCTGGGTGTCCAAATACTTCTTAAAAAAAAAAAGTCTTCAGTTGATTTAAAATACTTCTGCCAGAGTTTTAATGAGTTGATAGGAGTGATCATATCTCTCCAGTTTTAGCTTCTCTCCATTGGCTCCCTGTCAAATTCAGAATATAAGTCAAAATATTACTTCTAACATACAAATTGACCTAATTTCATCAAATGAATAGTTACAAATGAATAATTTGTATTTGTAATAGTTTCCATCTTAACATGTGTTTTTTTATTCTTTCCTCCTAGTGAGGGACCTGCTCGCCTCCATTCTGGACCTGTCATTCTGTGTCCATTTCTCCTTCCTGTCCTCTCAAACCCAGCTGGTCGAAGCAGATTGTTTTGGCGCATTGTTTTTGTACCATTAGTGCTTAGTGTATTCTTAGTTTAGTGAAGGTAGTATAGTCTTAGTTCATGACTCAGATCTTACTAATGTTTTTTTCTTTACAATTTGTGTTTTTGTTGGACGTAACTGGGACCCTATGTACATAGTTTTGTCCCACCTCATGTATCACGTGTGGTGTGTATGACAAACAAATCGTTGGTTACGTACTGTAACCCCAGATTCTATGAATATAGGCGTAGCCCTTTAAGGCTGTCGCTGATGGTTTATCCCGTTATGCGCAGCATAAGCACTGAAAAAAATTAGTCCACGCCCACCTGCTGTGTGGGCCCCACCCGGTCCGTATAAATTACGTTAAGAGCGGGAAATCGGCTCCCAAAATAGCTTTTTTCTTCAGCCATTTAGGAGCCAGTGAGGCCCGACGCTTAAAGGGCTACGCCTATATTCATAGAATCTGGGGTTACAGTACGTAACCAACGTTCTATTTCATATAGGCTTCGCCCTTTAAGGCTGTCGCTGATGGTTTAAGGGCGAAGCGGATGTGGTCCTCGCCTCACTGGGTCCATTCGAACACAGTAAGAAGCGGAAGCTTGCCCAAAAAGCGTCTTGTCACTCAGCTCCCCGTGTGCATAAACTACGCATCGCGTAATTATGTGCCATGCACAGACGCATGTTGTGTAACTATGCGTTCTGACAAACATGAATACCCCGGAAAAACTTTCAACGGAAAGAGGAAGTTTAAAAGAGGGGGGGGAGGGGGGCATGAACCAACTGGTTCATGGCTGAACAGTATAAACAGATTAATGTCCATGAATTGATCAATAATCAAATGAACTGATTGTTAACAATAATCATGAACTGATTAGTGACAATAGAACCAAAATCACAGACACGACTGTGACTGAAAACAACATCTCACACTGTAATGCATGCAGACAGAAGTGAGCTTAAACAGAGTTCCATGAGAACAACAATATTCATTCTGTTAGGGCACTAAGGACAGAATGTGTCATGGAACGAGCCGTTACATCACGTAGGTAAAAGCGAATAAATGAGCAGGGTGTTGACCATGCAGCCGCAGTGCAAATGTCCTGCATTGACATACCATTATGCAGAGCAGTCGAAGATGCGATACCCCTGGTCGAGTGTGCTTAGAGGTTGACAGGAGGCCCTAAATCTGATGCTCTGTAGGCTTCAGAAAAAGGCCTCACACAGCCAGTGAGACAAGCGCTGGATGGATAACGGCGACCTGCAGAAGCATCTCTATAATGCACAAACAATTGTTGAATTTGAACGCATTGCAGCTGTGCGCGTTACGTAACACGTCAACGCCTGCACCGGGCAGAGAAGATGAACAGATGCTTCCCCTTCTGATCTGTGGGGGGGAAAAGACCCCTCCAACGACATCACTCTTGATTTAAAAGAGCTCGTGATGTTTTAGGCATAAAAGCTGGGTTGGTCTTAAAACAGCTGAGCTGCCCGTCAGCCTAATTCTAAGGCATGACGAAACAACAGAGAGGGCAGATAATTACTTACCCTCTTATCGGGTGTTAAAACCAGCAGCAGGACTGTTTAAAGAGACAAGAATTTAAATGAAAACTGATCCAGAGGCTCAATTGAAGCTTTGATCAGGGCTCGCAGGACCAGCGTTAAATCCCACTGTGGAACAAGTGGGCATGAAACAGGCCTACATCTCTGTACACCTTTTAGAAACCGCTTCATCAGCGGGTGATTAAAAGCTGTTCTGTCTCCAAACCCTTTGTGGCAGGAAGAGATGGCTGCAACGTACGTTAAAGCGTACTGAAAGCCAACTCCCTATCCATCAGGTGTTGTAGAAAAACAACACGCTGCCTAAAAGGCATGAAGTGGTCTCTAAACCTTCTCTGTACACCAGCGCTGAAAAGCCGTACCCTTGATGTGTACAGAACTGTGGTAGATGCAGCACGTGAATCTTGAATTGTGCACACTATCTCCTGAGGGAGACCCATCCTCTAAGTGGGACCGCTCAGCGGTCAAACCCACCGGTGTTGACCTATTTCTGGGTAACTCTTGGTCGCTCCTCCTGCCTGAAGGAGAGCATCCTTCCTCCACGACAGTTCCAAGGCGACCCCACAACAGACGTTGCAGGCCTGGGAACCATAGTGCGTTCACACGCCGGGAGCCACCAGGAGAGCTGTCAATCCCTCCTCCTGAACTCGGTTCATGGACCGTAAAAAACAGAGGAGGTGAGGGAAAAGAAACGCGTAAAAAGCGTTTTGGGCCACCGACTGTGAGCAAATGCGTCCCCCCCCAGCGATGGATCGTCTCGCGGGCTCAGGGAAAAAACCGTAGTTGACATTGCGCGTTCTTCTCGCGTCGCAAACAGGTCCACAGCTGCTTTGCCAACTTCTGCTGTGTCTGAAAAACATCAGATCCGGATGGAGGATCCGGTCCACATAACGTGGGCCGCCCTTGGACGTCACATCAGCCCCTCTGTTCAGAACATCGGATATGTAAACCGCTCTAATAAAAGCAGGTTTGATGAACCCAACTCAGTAGCTTCCGCGCAATGTGTAACATCTGGGCTGAACGCACACCCCCCTGGCGGTTTATGTACGCAGCAGTCACCATGTTGTCTGTGTGAATCAACACGTGTTGATTCTGTAGCACGGGAGCAAAATGTTGAATCACATTCAGCACTGTGCGACACTCCAAAACATTGATGTGGGCTGATGTGCGGTGGGGCCACAGCGCCCCTACTGCTTGAGATAGGCATGTTCCCCCCCCCAACCTGACAGAGACGCGTCCGTGAAGACTGACACGTGACGTGGGTCTGCTGACGGGGACTCCCTCTGACAGAGCCAGGGTGTTTCCCCAGTGTCGGAGGTCTGCTCCCATGGAGGGAGGGACAGTGATCATCCGTCTCTTTTGTTTTACTGGATCCACACGCAGACGCGTAAACCACCTCTGGAGGCGTCTCATGTGTAACAAACCCAGCGGGACCACTGTGTGAGCTGATGACGTCATTCCCAACAGCTTCATGACGGAGACAGCTGTTACCACTTTGCCAGGTCTTACGTGGCGTAATTGGTTTTTAGAGTGTCGATTCTTGTTTGTGATAAACGAGCCGTCATGGTAATTGAGTTTAATTCCACTCCCAGATAACAATTATCTGGGCCGGGAAAATCGAGCTCTTCTTCCAGTTATGGCGAAGCCCAGATTTAGCAGGTGTGATGCTAACACCTGAGCCTGTATCAATGCTTCCTGTCTGGAGTGAGACAGGGGCAGCAGGTCGTCCAGGTAAAACAAAACTCTCATCCCTGCTTGTGCAGTGGATGCAGGGCTGTCTCCACACACTTTGAGAACGTACGAGGCGCGAGGGAGTACCCAAAAAAAAAGGCAACCTGTTGTACTGGTACTTCATCCCTTGAAAGGCGAAACGCAGAAATTTTCTGTGTTTTGGGATGATTGGTGTGTGAAAATAGGCATCTTTTAAAACGATGGAGACAAACCAGTCGTTTTCCTGGATGTTGTCCAACAGCTGTCTGTTCATCAACATGTGAAAAGATCTGTTCATGATCGCTTTGTTGAAAGCTGACAGATCCAGAATCGGTCTCATCCCTCCGGTCCTTTTGGGGACCAGGAAGTAGCGTGAGTAAAACCCTGTGTTTTCCTCCTCGTTGGGAACTCTTGAGATTACACCTTTTATCAGAAGCTCTTGGACTTCTGCATTTAAGGCTGAGACTTGGTCTGGTGATGACAGGACCGTCTCTATAACTCCTCCGAACGGAGGGGGTCGGGTTGCAAACTGCAGCGTGTAACCCTTGCATAACACTCTGTCCATCCATCTGTCCGGTGAGCATGTTTTTAACCACTCTGCGTGACGTTCGTGGAGTGGACGTGCGTTTAAATGATGTGCCGTGTTTTGAACGGATGTCATCCAAACCTCCGCCTCGACCGCCGTCATGCGTCGCGGAAATGTTTTCCGCGTGACCCAAGGCGAGGCTTTCTCGAAAGGGCTGTTCTGCGCGCGCCCGTGTGCTGTGACTGGATCGCGGACCAACCTTCATGTCCGGGCGGGGCGGTGTGTGCTGAGGCGAGGCGTGTGTCAGCTGATGACGTCGTGAGGCTGCACGTTTAACGTCGCTGTGCGAACGTTGAGAGGTGGAGGGCGTGACGTCATCAACGCCGTGCTGTCGAAGTGAAGGTTGTGAGCCTCGCGGGAGCGCACGTTTCCTCTGGAGGGACGCGCGCCGCTCTCGCTGAGGGCGGGGCCCGTCATTGGATTCATTCAGCTGTCTCACGCTTATGCCGCCGTGAGCTGCTGATCGCTGAGACGCGGTGGATGACGGCCACTCGCGTTCATTCAGGAGAGGCGTGTGTTGTTTTCGCTGAGAGCAGGGACCTCCACCGGACCCGGCCTGCGGTCCCACATTTATCCCGATGTGGGCCGGTGAGCGCCGGGCAGCTGTGCGTGCATCATCGACACAGTGCCGTTTGGATGGAGGCTGCTTGTCTCGCTCGGGAGCGCGTTAACACCGTTGGGAGGTGATCGTGCGGGTCTGATTGACAACAAGTTATTTCGCTTACCGTGGTGTCACGTGAGCGTCTGGGCATGTGAAGGAGCGGCGGTGGATTTAAAAAACCTTTATTTAAGGACACCGGCTCTTATGAGTGGAGGTTGTGTGTGTAGCGGCTGTGAGCTCATCCGAGCTTACAGACTGGCTAAAAACAGGCATTTTGATCTTTGAAAAATCATTTATTCAATTCCTGTGTCATTTATACACACATCCTCCGCAGACCGTCATTTCTTAAAACTTCTCCCCCGTGAGCCCTGCGGTTTGTTTGCTCCGAGCGCCGTCTGCAGGCGATCTCTGGGGAAAACGCTGAAGTGCAGGCTGCCGGACTGAGGAGGGGTGGTCTCTGGCGGGCGGGGCTGGTGGTGGAGCTGGGCGAGACGAAGCTGCTGCTGCCGTGGAGCGTCGATGTTTCTGCCTCTGCTTTCGACGATCTCTCCAGCGGGCTGGAGGACGGAATGAGCCGCGCGGCTTGATGAGATGGCGTACAGCTTCCGACGTCTCCTCCGACTGCTTCGAATTCGTCAGCATGGACGTCAAGCTGCTTCCGAACAGCGCGTCCGATGAGATGGGGCCCTCCATCCGGTCTTTGTGCAGCTTTTCCGGCAGCAATGGAGAGTGACGGAGCCAGATGGAACGTTGGATTACCGTCATCCATGCTACAATCCTCGACAGGCAAACCGAGGGAGCGGCGCACATGTTGAGGATGGCGTCTGCCGATTACACAGGGAGCTCTTTGTCTCCTCCGGCAGGTCTGAGGTCTCCAGCCTTTTCGACATGCTAAATGCTAGCAGCGCATGTTGTTGCTAACTGCGGTTGCCTGAAAACACGTCGGTGGGCTCGATTGGAGAGCTTTGGTCGCCGTCTGGTTCCTCCGGAGGGACGGGACGCTGCTCCGACCTGGACAGCTTCGCTCCGGAAGCTTCCGCGAGGCTTGGCTCCAGGGGAGGGAACCGAGGAATAGCGTCAGTTGCCTTACAGAAGGAGTTCTTTGTCTCCAAGGCAGGTCTGCGGCCTTCAGTCCCTTGGACATGCTATATGCTAGCAGCGCACGTTGTTGCTAACTGCGGCTGCCTGGAAAAACACGTCAGTGAAAAATAACCTTTCCGCCGATCATCCGAACTGGCGGGAAAAGGCGAGGGACGTAGAAAAAAGGGGTCCCTTCATGTCAGCCTCCTCCCGGGTTCCGCCGGGCAACCCCTGAGGGCGCTGTCGGCCGGGAGCGGTGTGATCGCCGATGCGAAACGAGGTGGGATGGGGTGAGCATTCACTCAGCCCCCCTCCACCTACACTACGCTCCCCGGGAGGGAATGAGCAGCGGGGGCTGCAGCTGAGCACACCTTGCCCCGGAGGAACCATCCGGTTCGCCCCGAGGGTCGGCGATAAGAGGAAAAACACAAGATGGCGTTGTCCAGCGTGTAATGACCTGTCACTGGGAAATGTTCCCCGACGCTTACCTTGGAATAAGACTGCTGTCATCTTCTCCTCGGGGAGGAGAACTCACCGGACGACCGGAGGTCGACTGCCGGGCCAAGCATCTTCCGCAAAGGTTGGTCATTTACACAATTTATCTTCTTTGTTCTTCTGACAGTGCTATATTAGCTCGCTGAAGAAAAAATGGGAGCCGATTTCCCGCTCTTAACGTAATTTATACGGACCGGGTGGGGCCCACACAGCAGGTGGGCGTGGACTAATTTTTTTCAGTGCTTATGCTGCGCATAACGGGATAAACCATCAGCGACAGCCTTAAAGGGCGAAGCCTATATGAAATAGAACTCTCTGACTCTCTCAGATGGCCCCTTGTCCTGAGCCTGGTTCTGATGGAGGTTTTTCCCTATTATGAGGGAGTTATTTCCTTTCCACTGTTGCCTTTGTGCTAGCTCAGGATGGGGGACTGCGACAAAATGGAAGACTCAATGCGTTTGCTGGCTTCCTTCCGTAAATAGATAACTTCACTATTTGGCATTTATAATGTATGTGAATGTTTTTGTTCAGTGCCCTAAGATAACACATTGTGACTTGACGCTATATAAATAAAATTAACTGAATATTTGCTAAGTTAGTTTGAGAACTTACCAGTGCATGAAAAAAAAAACTGCGACCGAGTAAAGTGTTAAAATTGCCCAGATGGGAGTGATTGATTTTCAGAATACCGTGCAGACGAAAAACAAACAACAACAAAAACACACACACAAAAAAAACCCATTCAAAATAAAACCTTATTTTCTTTCCAAGTGTCCAGGTACCAAATGATCCAAGGCCCAGTACTGGTCCCCTGCCCAGTAGTTTGGGAGCTCTGGTAAACAGCTTTTTATGGTTTAAAACTTTCTTTTAACTAGATTTAATAATTAAGAATGATTCATTCCACTCAGTGAGGATTAAAAGTGGATGAAACAAAGTCGAGTAATAAATGTTGGAATCTGCTTTAACGCTTCAGCTGTCTCTGAGTTGCTCTTTAGTGTAATATTTACACTAAAATAAATCTAGCTGCATGTTTTTATATCAGGTAACATCAGCGGGGCTCACCCTGGTGCTGTGCCGGTCGTTCTGGATGCCGTTGTCCAGGATTTTGGCTTCTAATTGGGCCTCGGTGAGAGACAGTCTAAGAAATGGTGGCTGTACTTCCACTGTGCGATTGCTCTGCCACCGGCCCACATATCTGTAACACAAATATTTCAACTGAAATGAAAAGCAAACAGGATCAGCAGGGGTTTGCTTAACTGACAAACCTAATCTAGCAACAGAATCCATTTGAAGGAAATGCCTGTGCTCCTGTATTCTGTTAACGGAACAGACAGATGAGAACAATAAAAGAGGGAGGAAAAATGAAAGGGGGGGGGGGATGGAAAGGAGGAGGAATGGAAAAAAAGAGCTCTAGCAGAGTGCTAAGAAGCAGGGGAGTAAACAGGAGAAAGGAGTGCTGACCTGGGGGCCTGAGGGCTGCAGAGCACACGTGAAATATTCTTAAAGCAGCCCTTGGTGAAAGGGTTAACACCTCCCCGGAACTTCCCAGTTACCTGCAAGAAGAAAGGCCGGTAAAACAACCACACTTATAAATAACTCAGACTACAAAAACACTAAGAAATGTAAGATGGCAAAATGCTTCTGAGCTTATTTAGTGATCCAAACAACCGGCTCTTGTCGATACCTGCTCATTTGTGGTTCTACCGCGGGCCACCAGAACTATGTGGAACCCAGTCAGGCCAGCGACTGGAACAAAAAACAAACCAGCCACACACATCACAGCCATACTGGAGGGCAGGGTCAAGGGAACCACAACAAACAATGAGAGCAAACATGAACAAAACAATCTGTGGCTTCAGAGCAGCAAGGATACGTAACAGCAGCATGTGGCGTGTTCAGCTGGTGACGGTGGTGCAGAACATAAACCAAACCAAAGCCGAACACGTTCACGATGTGGGTGGTTAGAGACATTAAGAAGAGGAAGAAATAGCGATAATTTCTCCGACCAATACAATTGTTCACCCAAGGACAGTGGTGGTCAAAATCCTGAGGGGACACAAAATCGCAGTGTAGATAAATAAAACATTGAGCAGAAAACCAAAGGTAAGTAACAAGGAAAATACATTAAAAATAAAAAAACTTCCACACAACTTTTATCTCCTAGACTCATTGTTGGAAAGCTTAGTAGTAACAGGTTTAAGCTGAAGCTTGCTTTAAAATTAGGATTCACTGTAATGTCTTTTTTAGGTTGTGTTTTGAGACATACAGTTATAAAATTAAGATTTGATTTCTTAAAATTCACATTTTAGCATTAGCTACTTGTAACACGACAAAACCAAGACCCGATGGCCAGAAGTGGCCTTTGACATCATCATGCAAAAATAAAAAAATTAAAAAAAAAACAATGACTGAAAACCAGAATTTTAGCTACAGCTAGTCGACAAAGTTATGCACTGCCTTTTATTCAGCTTCCATTTATTTAATTAAAAAAAAAAGTTTGGACCTTCAAGATCAGATTTTCAAGGTCAAAGGTCACGCTGAAAATCAAACAGAAGTCAACGCTTATTGAAAAAGACTAAAAATGGCATTTTATGTTAAGAGTTTATTTCTAAATTACATATCACACGTGTTAGTTCACAGGCACTACATTTAGTGCGAAGAGAGTATTATACTTTGACCAAGTGTAGCAGCTAAAACTTATCAAATAAAAAAATGTCCTGAGAGAGACTTGTCCTGTCCTGAACACGTCTGTCTGAAAGCGTATCGAAGCAAACCACTCAACAATTTACAAACAAGCTAATGTCATGTCAAGAAAAAAAATCCATCTTTTCTTTGTTTTTGCAGATGATGTGATGTGTACACTAGTCAAGAAACAAATTATGCCTATATTTGACCAGAGACTGCCCACTGGTGGTGTTTAATGTTTAAGCAGAAGTACCATCAGAACCAAAACTGAGAAAAAAAATCACGACTAAATGTTTGCGTGCGTGCACAGTATGTGTGTACCTCCACACAGTTGTTGCAGACTGAGCAGTGCGAGCAGCGCGGCGGGCGGTAGAAGCGGCAGGTCGAGCACCACTTCATCCGCACCTGGATGCCCCGGATCTCCACAGTCTTATACAGGGGAGCGCGAAAGTCGTCCTCTTTATCCTCGTCTTCCTCAGCTGCAGATAAGACACATAAAATAACAATGAACCGACAACACGATGACTCAGCACGTGGTTTGCCTGAATCATGTTAGTCCAGTGGCTCGTGGTTAAACCTCATATCTGTTCAGTTTTGTTGCGTACGACTGCATAATTCATTGAACGATGCAAAGATTTGCACACCAACACCACTGAACCCTCGTTTACCTCTGGGGAAGATTCCAGGGTCCATGAATGTGGCCATGCAGAAGTTGGCGAGAGTGAAGAGGAAGATTACAGCGATGTAGAGAGGAATGACAGAGGAAATCGACTCTGACAACCACGGGGACCTGAAGAAAATGATGGAAACAAAATGACAGCTTTGCAAACATACTTCGGTCTGTACCCTTGTTGGCAAGACATGAAAATGTAATAAGAATCTACACTCCATCATGTTGATGAGCCCTTTTGTGAGGCAAACTAACTCCACTGAGGCTGTCCAGCAGCTAAATATATAATACAGCGATGGTAAAGCAGAGCTCGGAGGTGTGAAAGTGTGGGCAAGTGTTGCCGAACAGATGGCAGCACTTCTCTTTAAACTCTATAAGTGTTAAACAATAAAATGACTTCAACATGTTTGGATTCTTACCAAATTTATTTTTGTACCTGAAAAAAGTGGAGTAAAGATAATGGATGGATAAAGCTTTTGTATTATATAAAGAGAGACGAAGGAACACTCACGTGAAGCAGAAAAAGAGGGTCGTGGCCCCAACAAGGAAGGTTGTGGCTGCGGACACTGGGACGTATCGGCTGGGACGAAATGGATGGGGAGGAGCAGAAGCAGGACCCCCCACTCCTCCCCCAACCACCACACCACTGAATCCGGGCATCAAATACTGAGAGAGGGAGGGAAGACAGAGAGGGAGGTAGGGATCTACTGCCTACCTACAGTAAAGGGCTACTTTACTGGTCAAAATGGTAATTTTGGTGTTTGAAAGGAGGGGCCATGATTTCAGACTGGAAAAGAAAACACTATGCAAAACAGCAACTGACTGGAAACACAGGGGATTTTTTAAGTCCAGACTCCTAATGTCTCCTCGCACAGATTTAAAACAATATGTAATACAGTATGTGCACAGATCCTTGTGAAATAATTAATTTGTGTGCATAATCTTAACTTCTATTCAAGAGAAAAGTGATAGAAAAATATACGTCATTCTTTTTTTTTTTTTTTATGGCTTAAATGTAACTATATTTGGTGCAACAACGCAACTATACAAACACTGCTGTGAATATGCAAAAATGACAAACACCTGTGCACAATAGTGAAGCAAACAAAGTTCATCTCCGCTCCCAAAACTCTGCGTTTACAAAAAGCTCGTTCCTGTGCTTACGTTCTGATTATCGAAGTGAAAAATTAATAAAAATTAAAGAAAAGACATTAAAAGAGGTAGTCCATCGGGCGAGGAGCAGAAGAACATAGAGGGGAACAGGCGGAGGACTGAGCGTAGCAGCTGCTGATGACTTCTGCGACCGTCCCAAGAGGGGGCTTATTTAGGCACTGGGTGGGTGGAAGAAACTGAGGATGGCGGCCGGAAGGACGGGTCCAGCATTTCAATCTGAACCTGCTGAGCTGGGAGGGAAATAAGTTGAGGGAAACTGTTTGATATGAAAAAGTCCAGCTGGAATTTAGGTTTTAAAAAGCTGCTTAAAAAATACATAAATAAAATAAAATTTAAGTCTAGCTTTTTACTAGTAAAAAAAGAAAAAACAAATCCAACAAGAGACCCCTTAGACTTTTAAAACCACCGTCTTCAGTCTCTTCGTCTGTACGGTGACAGAATCAACTCATTCCATAAAGTAGTCCTGCGTAGTTCATGAAGACGCCATCGCACTCGACTGGGGATGGGTGCAGTTGTGATTTCTCCCACCTCCAATTCATCTGCAGGCAGACCTCCACTCCCATGTTTAATCTCTTACAGAAAGGCACATTTCAGGTACAGGTGTTATGTAGTCCCAACACATTTTAGTTATTTCCAATCTCGGCTCCAGGTTCTTATCATCCTCCAGCTCTTCTGTGGATGAACGGCTGGATATTTCTGCAACAAGAGGGACATGAGATGTACACGGTCACAAAATGATCAATGGGCCAAATCTTAGAAAAGCTCAAACTAATCCTTGCACATTTTTAAATGATAATTGCTGACAGGATTATACCGAACATAACAAGTTGCTTTTTATGAAAGCAACTAATCAAACATTCAACTTGGCATCAACCCACAAAAAAAAAACAAAAAAAAACCGTGAAAATGTCCCAACTCACAACCTTTTCATTGTGTATTTTTGTTCTATGAAATAGCACAAGAAAAAAAGCCAATTCTGACAAAAATATAATAGTGCAGAGCTTCACAGTGACGTACATCATTAGCATTGTTGCTGTCTGTCCCCCAGCAGGGGCTTTTTATGAGTTTACATGTTCTCCCTGTGTTATGTGTGAGGTTTCTCTGGGTTCTCTGCTTTCTTCTCACAGTCAAAAGATCCATGCATTCTGGCTTCACTGGCAGCAATACAGGTGCAAGTGAGAGCATGAATGGCTGTCTTGTATCTGTGTGTCCCTGTGATGGACTTGCCACACGTCCAGGGTGTCTCCCCATGGCCCTGAACAGGTACAAGCGGGTAAAGAAAATGGATGGATGAAAAATGCACGTGAATCTGGTAGTTTCTAATGCACAGAGCTGGGATTCAACACCAATAAAGAACCCAAAGCTCAGCTGTAAAGTTGGAGGGTAAATTTTTGTGGAAAGGAGGTTCCTTCAGTTTGGTTTCACAATAGTTTGACTGACATTTTCATTTTCATCATAGCTCATAAAGTTGTCCAACCTCCTGCAGTTGGTAAACGCACAGTCAACGGCCTCAGGCTGTCAAATAAAAACACCTCACACTACAGAGGAAATTCAAAATACCATGAAGACAACGATGTGTCACACACACACACTTTAATTGCCTTTATTTCCAGTAGAAAACTAGTCCGTGAAGAGACTGGAAACAGATCCGGAGTACCAGTGTAATCTGATAGTGTGGACACACCCCTGTGTTCAGTAAGGTCCTGACAGTGTCAGTGTTCCTGTTGTTAATCATCTCATCTGCCCCACAACAAATCCCCCCGCAGACTATAATGGATGTTAATCCCAAAATCTCCGAGTCCAGCTTTGTTCGTCACGTCTCTTCAACACCACCGCACCTCGAAAGCTACACTGTTAGGAGACCAAACTTCACATAGACTCGTAATCTATGTCTGTAAACTAAAGGGTCTATGAGTTCATGTTTGATACATCATGGGGACAGATCAAGCCCCCGGACGGTGAGGCCAGCAGAGTCAGGATTCAGTCAAAGACAACAAACGTTGACATAATCTGACACACAGCAGCGCCTTGTTCCCACAAAAACACGGAGAGCAGCTTTAAATTCGCATTTTATTGTTTTAAAATAACAAGAGCGACATACACTTATTTAGGCCTTTACCCAGCCTCGAAAGTTTTTTTTTTTAAAACACTGATCTGTCTTTTACCACAGCTAGCATTAGTAGCGTACTATCGCTACATCGGCGGCTTTCATAGACGGTTCACGAAGACGACAGTTGCGACTTTTAGCTAAACAGATACGATAGGGAGAAACTCTCTCACCTTATATCGAACATGCGACTCGTCCTGCCTGTAGGTTGTTGGGTCGTTTTAGTCCGCCTTTAGTTAGCCACTAGCGAACTACTTAGCTAGCCCGCTAGGCCGACGTCGGAATCCCGGAACTTGTCTGTCGTCCATCAGATGGAGGCGACAGCCAATCAGAGAGCGAGGAGGAGTGGTCTCACGTGACGTCACAACTGTGTTTTTTCCATTACTGTACAGAAATGAACTAAATACTAGAGAAATTGCATTCCCTGCGAAAATGCAGTGTGCTCATTGCTGATTGATTTTGCTGAAAATTGCTTGAAAAGCTAGAGCTTACTTGAAATGCATCAATAACTAAAAATTCTAAAGATGAATCTGCAAGAAGCACAAAAAGAAAGAAAAAACTCAAAAATGAAGAAAAAGGTTGAAAATGGGTTAAGCGCTCCAATGTACAGAAATGCAGCAATTAGGGGAAGAAAAAAAGATATAAGTAGTGTGAATAAAGGCACAAGTAGAAAAAGGTTAGTAAAATACAACTATGGAGTGGTTATGCTCTCACCCACCTGGAGCAGGACTCCTACATCCATCCCTTAGCAAAAAGTAGTTTATTTAAGTATACTACAAGTATACTTATTTTACACTAAAAATGAGGAAGTGTACTTGAAGATTACTTTTTATTAACTTTATTTGATATACTTAAAATAGTATAAAAACGTCCCAATTTAGTCCAAACAAGTATACTTTCTAGTACACTACAAGTATGGTGTGTAGTATACTTGATATACTTATACTTAACTTAAAGTATACTTGCAAAAATGAACTTCAAATGTACTACTTTTTGTTAAGGGATATGCTCTTTGCGGACTTCACATCTGCGATCTCCCAAACCCTGATGGACAAACTCACACTAGGACTGAGCCTCTCCATATGCAACTGGGTACTAGACGTCTTAACAAACATCCCTTCTCCTCCTCCACCATAAACTCAGCACTGGCTCCCCTCAGGGCTGTGTGCTGAGCCCTCTTCTGTTCACTCTGCTCACGTATGATTGTGCACCTACCCATCCAGGCTGTCATATTGTAAAGTTTGCAGATTATACAGCGGTGGTGGGATGCATCACAAACAACGATGAGTCCAGCTACAGGCAGGAGGTGGAACACCTGGAGAGCTGGTGCAAGGACAATAACCTTTACATCAATGTGAAGAAGACAAAGGAGATAGTCATGGACTTCAAACGGAAATGCTAGCAAGTCATAAAAAGAAGTAGCAAAACGTTTGCAAAAAAGCATGAAAAGGCTTAGAGGCAGAAGTACTGAAATGCTAGCAAAAAACAAGTAATGTCAGCTAAAAGCTAGAAGTAGCAAAACACTAAAAATAGCTAGAAAAAAGCTAGCTAAGAGCCAGAAGTAACAAAGCTAGTTTAGAGCAAGAAATAGTTAAACTGTGGTAAATCCAGTTTAACACAGTAAAATTTACTCATAAGATCCAGAGTATTGTTGACCCATGAGGTGTTCAGCTGTAAAGTTTGACATTTCTACGTGCAAAGGTTACCAATTTAGAGCTGTTTAAAAGAAAGGAATGACCTTGACCTTTGACCCCACGGTCTTAAAAATCAATAAGGATCTTTGTTGACCCATGAGGTGTTCAGCTGTGTAGTTTGACACTTCTTTGTTAAATAATTATCAAATTATAGTGATATAAAGAAAGGGATGAACTTTGACCCTATGACTCTGAAATGATCAGGGTTGTTGCTGCCCTACGAGGTGTCGCTGTAAAGTTAGACATTCCTACATTACACAGTTGTAGAGTTAGAGCTTGGACAAAAAACATTGTCCACGGACTGCTGGACAGACAGCATGTTATCTTTGGCAGCCATATTGAATTTTTATTTAGCCCTCAGCATGTGTTGAGGGTCACTCTCGACTACCATGCCTAATTTCAGTCAAAATTATCTAAAAAGGAATAATATGAAGTTGAAAAAACCCACAAGAGATCACAAAAAACTGACAATTGTAGAAAAGTAGATTTAAAAAAAAATTACCAAAAAAGCTCCAACTAGCAGAAGGCTAAAAGGAGCCAAAAACAGCTAAAATGAGCACAGGAGATGAAAAACTGAACTTAAAAGATGAATGGAGTTTCTAGTGGAAGTATGCTGAAGTAAAGAGTTCAAAAGCAGTAAGGATGAATGATTTCACAATTTCAATGAGAAACATTTTGTTCAAAATGCTGAATATTTCAAAAAGTTTAAGATATCAATACCAAAAGTCATAGCAGGAGTGTCCTGAATTAGCTAAATGTTTTATACCTAAATTGTTGAAATATCTTACAAACTGCAGATGTCAAAAAATGTACGAAAGACACTTGAACATGATCACAGCGCTTTGTGTTGATTTTAACACCAAACACAATCTGTTCTAGTTTTGTAGTGAAACTAGTTCTTAACAATGTGCATTGAAACACAAAGAAGTGATGTTTGTTTATATGCTAGACCATTTTTGAGGATTTAAAAAAAAAAATATATTTCATCAGAATTTAAACAATTATTTGCGGTCACCTCTGAAAAAGCTGTTTATTAATTGTAAAGCTTTCAAAATACAAAAAACTACACGGAAACTAGGATTCAGAACAATTTAGAATAGTAATTTAGTTCCCTCAACAAAAGTGAAATAAAGAAAAAAGTCTGCAAAGACAATCACTTTTAAGGTAAAACTATGTTGAATATTTTGTTGACTTAGTAAGAATCACTGTATGTTGATCAGGTTTATGCCACTTTGTTCTGCTTGTGCATGGAAAAATTACAACAAAATAAAGGTCTCAAGAATACAGATAGACAAAACGTTAAATGAGCGCCTTCTGTGGTGCTGCCAAACATCTGCTGCCATACAGTGGCTCTTATATTATGGATAACGGATTATCATATTTTGTTTAAAACAAACGTAAAGAACGCTCCAGGATGTATACAGCACAGGTGAGATTTGTCTCCAACTTTAAAGACACATTCTAAAGAGCTGCTCGAGTGTTTATCATCATCATTCAAATTTAAATCAAAATCACTTCATCTCAGGTTACCGTAGTTTTCAGACTATAAGGCGCACTTAAAATCCTTTAATTTTCTCAAAAATCCACAGTGAGCCTTATAATCAGGTGCACCTTATGTATTAATTCTGGTTGTGCTTACTGACCTCAAACCAATTTTATGTGGTTATTGTGAACAAGTTTAATAAAGTTTGACTTGGCTGACTGTTTTTTCACTTAATGCGCCTTATAGTCTGAAAAATACGATAAGTTAGACATAATAAAGCTTTATTTGTATATATATATGCAAATAACCTAAATTGACAAAATATTACAGTTGACTTTCAACCCTAACAAAGTTTTATCCATCCAACCATTTTCTTTTATCCAGTTTCCTTTCCAGGCCAGAGAGCAGCTGGTGCCGATCCCCAGCAGTAAACAAAAGGTATTGTTCAAGAAAAATATGCTTGTTTTTCTAAAATAGATTAGAAAAATAAACATCAAGAAGAAATATTCCTGCATTTGTAAAAATAAAAAAGGGTTAAAAACACCTGTACATGGAGCTCTACAAAACAGTAACATGTGTAGCAAACACCAGTTAAACACCTTTTTTTTTTTTACTCAAGAAGAAACAGACTCGCCCCAAACACGAACACCACCTCGTCCCAATTCTTCTTCCCCAGGATGTTGCATTATTTCATGTCCATAAAGCGGATGTCCATGATGAGCAGTGTGTGTCTGGGCAGGGGTCTGGGTGAAGGGGACAACACCTTCATCACTTGTGTCTGAACGTCTACATGAGTCACTACGATAAAACCACACACAGGACTCTCCACGATACTCTTTCTAGCGTCTTCGTCCCTATCATCCACGCTGCTCACACTCAGGACGTGATACGTCAGATCTCTCCCCGGCGTCACAGGCACGAGCTTCAGCTGCGTATCGTCTTGAGACATTCCCAGAGGCAAGCACGAGTCTGGGATGGACGGAGCACCGATCTTGTAGATGCGGACATCTGAGAAGCGGACTTCAAAAGAGAAAGGGAAGAAGGACAGTCCACGGAAGCCGTAAAAATACTCTCGGATCTTTTCATCACGGGTTTCCCGCCGGCACTCCTTTGTGCGCTCCACCACTCCGCCGGATTTGGGCAGGAGAACAACACGCACAAAGTGAGGCAGGTCTCGTTTGAGCTCATTGTACAGCCTCTCGTGGTCCAACACTAACACCACGTCCACCTGAAAGGTAGAGGCACAGTGGACCAGAGCCTGATATCCAGAACCCTTCACCCAGCCACAAGTGTTGATGATACAACCTCCCACGCTGGCCTTACGGTTCACCTCGCAGCGCTGAGAAAACACCTCAGCCAAACACGACGTCAGCTACACAACACGAGAGACCAAAGTCAGAACAGCAGCATCAGTGATGAGAACAAGAAGGAAATTTCTGCTTTGCAGTTACAAATCATCTTCATCTTTCATCTCACCTTGTTGTAAAGTTTGATATTGGTCCCTGGAGTAGTAGAGCCAAAGTGGTACACCAGAGGAGCCTGAATGGAGAAACCCTCCTCCACGTCTGCCGGGCGCTCAATGCACAGTGCCGACACCGTTCCAGGGACAGACACCTGAAGAACCCAGATATCCATTATGACATCACCATGTATTTCTAACAACAGCACAATGAAGGTTTTACCTGAGGCCTGAGACAGATTTACGTCTTTAACTAGATCTGATCTGTGTAGATCTGTTGGCTCACACGAACGAAGGGATTTTGTCAACTGTGGCCTTAATCTTGACAATCACTTTAAAATAATATAGTTAGCAACCTTTAAATTCATCATACTTGTGTTACATTTAAATTAGCCAACAGTATGGATACTTCCGATAGATTTTTGATAGAATAATTAACATTCATCATTTTGTTAAATGTTTTCTCAAATTTGTATGGATGTTTCTTTGACAAACAAACTCAAACACTGTTGAAGACCAAGTCCTTTTTGTCTAAACATCACCAAATTATATGTTTGAAAGTCAACGCTTCCATTCTGTCTCTAGAATAATAAGTACTTTAAAAAAATCCTTTACAAGCAGTGGGACAGCGTCATCATTCTTATCCAGATGTCCACAGGACCCTATATTTCATTGATTTGTACTGTTGTTACAACAGAGTGCAAAAATCCACGTTTTTTAATACAAAACTGACGGGCTAAGAAAACTACCTGAGCAGACTCGACTAAAAACATCTGCCTTCCATAAAACATGCTATCCACCTTATTCCTGGGAGCGCTACTGTATAAATGATTATGGGAACAACTTCCTGTCAGACACCGGAAATAGCAGTAAGCATTGGGTAACCATGGTAGCGGAGCACAAACCAATGTTTATTTGAAAGTAATTTACATTCAGTTTAGCAGATAAAACACTGGTTTTGTTTACATTCATTTAACAACTGCAAAGTTTGCTAAAATAGCCTTATGAAGTTCAGGTACCTGTTGTGTTCATGGTTGCACGAACAACCAGACCAAACTAAATCAGTGGCTACAACAACAGTGTTTTAAACACAGACCCAAAACAAAAAAAAGAGTGTTCCTGTGAAAAGCGGTATTGTTTCCATCGCCTACCTACAGATGAAGAATTAAGAAGAATGTGGCTGAAAAATCTGAATTTGAAGAGACCACACAAAACACTGTATGTGTGCTCATTTCACTTTGTTGACAAATGGCCCACAGAGGAAAACCTGCATCCTACTTTGTGACTGGACTACAATAAACCACCAGAGAAGAGACACTGGACCCTCAGAAGGATTGAAAATCGTGTGGCGAGAATATCAGGTGTGATTTCAAGCGCATGGAGGGCACAGCATTATCGTATTTGTTTGTCTTCAGTTTTACGATTTTCTCTGCAATTAACCCAAGCTCAGTGATGGAGGACTTTAAGGCTTTGGCTGGGCTCTATGTCTGCTTTAAGGTAAATAAGATTGTGTCCCACCTCTTTTAACAAAACACGACCCACCTATTACTGTGTAGATACTGATACACCTCAGAGTTTTTCATGTTGTTCATCGCTTCACCATCAGAAGAACAGAGTCATTGAATTAGCTAAATATGCTAGTTTATGTAATCTGCAGCCATTTCTTCAGGTCGTCCTCCATCCCTCATCCTCAGCAGGCAGAGGTATGATCATAATGTCCTGTTTGAGCTCTGACAGCTGGTGTTTCTACATATTTAAATTAAATCCACAACGCTTGGAGAAACTACATTAGCTCATATTGTTTGCACATAAACAAACGCCGGTTTCGATCTGCGCTGAAAGTCATGCCCATAATTCACACAAGGCACCATGGGGCCTAGGAATAAGGTGAATGCTACAAGTTCACTTGTATTAAATCCAAAAGGATTCAGGCAGCACATTATAACACATTTTTAGCATCCTAATGTCTGCTGTTTCAGACAACCAAGTCATTTTTACCCCACTCTGTCCAACATCTAGTTCCACAAGTGTTGGCCTCCTTCCAACCCTCACAGCATAGCTGAGAAGCAGTCGACACACAGTGGACTTCCCAACATCCATAGGTCCCACCACCATTACCTGAAGGCAGAAAACACATCCGGTGTTAATATAAAATGTAAATGTTTAGATCTGCAGTGAGATTTTATTACATTTACCCTCGGTCCCCTCTCGTTGTCTCGCTCTGCTTGTTTCCTCATCTGTTCCAGGGCAGCGTGAGTGTTTAGGTAGAGCAGCATAGGAGTATCCTTGGACACGTATGCCACCTGTAGTAATGAAAGAAAGATGTTAGGCTTGCTTAAATTCACAAAAAGCGAGTTTTAATTATTTTTGGGAATGGCCATCTTTTACAAAGTACTCACTTCAGGTTTTCCATAAAGATTCACAGTGCAACCTTGCCAGGTGAAAACTGCGATCTTGGATCCTGGTCCGAATGTGTACTTCTTGTTGCGGTTCAGCTCGGATCCAAACACTTCAGCCAGTCCTGTGATGAGTTCCAGCTCGACTTGATCTGATCCATCTCCTGCCTCCACCTCGAACCGAAGCTCAGTCTCCTTCTCCAGGTCGAACCTGGTATACACCTTCCCCGATGCTTCAGCATCTTCACTCGTCTTTTCCAAACCCTCTGTTGCCATGACTGACGTGAAAAACTTAGTTACAAGCAGTTTACCTTGACATACAGTACTGTGAAAAAGCTTACTTCCCACAAAAATATAAATACATTTGGGGTAATTTCTTAATTTAACATGATAATTCGCTGACAATATATAACGTTAAATCATTTAACCAGAACACCCGTCATACGAATGAAATTACTTGTAGTAATCAAGATTCTAGTAAAATTTAGGGAAAGATCAAACAGTAAAGACAAACACCGCAGTAGTTAGTTTTACGTTTTTTAGACAACCTAGCTAACAGCAGTTAGTAATTTGTAGCTAACTTTTGATTACCAACTTAAGCAAAAACGGAGTGCCTAAAAACAAATGTCTTAATAGTATTTAATTTAGCCGAAGAAATGTTATTAGGTTCGTTAATTTTGTTTACTGTAGAATACTCACGCGATAAACGTCAGACTTTAGTGGAAAACAGCTCCACACAGACTAGTCGCGGGATGATGAGGTCACGTCGCTAACAACCAATCATATGGCGTGTTAGGTTTTCTTCTTCTTCGGCCGTTGACATTCAAATTTTTTTAAACATTATCGCCACCTGCTGGTTTGGATTGTAAACTGGATGAATGACGCTCAAGAAAAAAAAAAAAAAAAGAAAAAAAAAACCTATCCATAAGCATGGATAGATAAATAGAACTCATATTCTTTCAAACAACTGAGTCCGTTTCAAGTATCTCATCAAGTTGTTGGTACTTTCCGATCTTGAATTTCCTTGTAACACTATAGGGTTGAATCTCACTTTTATTCTAGTGACACTATTAATCATTTGCCTTCTTTCATGATTGTATTTCTTGCAGATCAGTTGCACATGCTCTACAGTCTCATCTTCCCCAGTAATCACATTTACCAGTGTTATGCTTCATCCTATGAATGTCCTGTTCATGCCTGTGTCCAAATCTGAGTCGTGATGACTTGTTTCCTCACTTGTTTCTTTTAGCTTTTCTAATTTCTCCTGATTTTCATCGAATTCTGTAAAACCATCAACCTTTTCTTTCTTCTTCCCATAGCTTTTGCCATTTTTTCTTCATTACCCCGCTTTACGATTCTTTCTTTATCTGCTTTAGTGAGCTGAGGTGTGTTAGTTTACTGCCCCCTTTCTGGATTCATTCGTCCACTTCTTTAGGACATTGCTTTGTTTTCAGCAGATGTGATAACTTGTTTTACTCAACATATTTTAATACAACTTGCTTTGAAGTATCATCTTAACATAAATGGTTTAGAAAAAAAAATCACTTATTACGGTCTCTTTATTACCCTGAGCATTTTTGTTTTGAATCTTTCAATGAAACTCCACTAAAACAATGTAAAAAAAAAGTATGTAAAACTTATATACTTAGCATCTCTTCTACAAAAGCTATGGCTTTAACAATCAAAATACTTTGAGTAATGAAATGAAGTACTTTCCAGTTTAATATCACCAGATTGTGAGAAATTAATGACTGTGTTATCATAAACATTTTTTCCCACTGTGCAACAAAAGCTCATAAGTGATTGCTTGTTTAGTCATAACAACAGCAACACAAGAAAACCAAGAAACACTTTATTTAGCAACAGGTAAAACTTCACAAACTGCAGGAATGTGAATTTACTGACGCTCCACTAGGTGTCACCGTGTATCCAGAAGGTTTTTGGAGCTGATCTCTTCAGAAGAGGGACTGAGAACATCTCCTTCATCTCTCCTCATCATTTTGCTTCCACACAAATCTTCCAGATCCTCAGCTGCACAAGCAAAAACAGACAAACAAAAAAAAAAAACTTAAGACAATTCTGCTCCAGTTGAACCCAGCACCCACTTGAATTCACAGCAACTTTCTTTAAATTAACACGCCTGGATCACAATCTATATTTTTATATTGCGTGGCAGATTTGACAAACCTTCACTGGGAGTTTATTCAGCTTTGAGAGCTTCCTGCAGCGCAGCTACGACATCACCAGGTGGAGGGAACTTCAGTTTACGAGGTGGACCCTTCTTTAATCCCGTCCACAGAGACGTTTCTTTAGAGACAAAACATCCGTGTCATTTAAAGAGGCAACGTTTAAACAAATAAATGCCGTTATAACCAACTAAATGACAACCGATTAAATTAGTTCAATAATCTATAGGTTGAGTCATACAAAGCTCTTACAATTAACGTTATAATCAAGTCAACACTATAAAAATCTGGGGGGTTCCAGTTTAGATGCACTTTGTGGTTATTTGACTCCGCACAGGATTCATCAGAATCTCTTATGAGAAACATTTATACTTGGTAGTGAAATCTAAGTTATGGTTTAAATAGTAGCATGAAAAGATTAAAGACTGTTCTGATGCAAGGGCTACACTGCTACAAAAAGTTCACAGATTTCTTAAAGATTACATTATTATTAAACACTGTACAAGGTCCTGTTATCTTTAGTAACTGGGACATTCTTTATATATTTCAGACCACCAATCCAGAAATAAAAACTTCAAAGCTGTAAGCAAATAAAACTGAACTGCTTTACTTCTTATGTTAAAGTGACTGTCAATGCTGCTGAATGGTACAACTGTCAATAAGTCAATAAAGTGGACAGATTGATGGTCTTTGCTCAGGGCCACCAAATGTCCCAGTTATTCTTGGCGGTGTCTTTCCTTCCTCTTCACCTTTGCCTCCATCCAGCAGAGTGATCTCAAAGCTGTTCCTGCGGGGTTTGTCTGGGTTGAGGACCACACTCAGACCAGGGTGGGCGGCCAAGAGGGCAGATTTCACCTCCTCGGCGTTACGCCCGTACACTCGTCAGCTTTTGCTGCCAGAATTAAGAGACAAACCATCAGATGGACATCTGTGACGGCTATTCAGAGAAATCTGTCAGCGTTAACTCTGATCCTAAATATAAACATTTATTTAAGTGTTGTGCTTGAACACTTTAACCCAGATCAGAGTCAGAGTCAGAGTTTCTTTATTGTCATTCGCACCTCATGTGGTACATGTGGTGGAGCGAAATTATGTACACAGGGTCCCAGTTACATCCAGATACGAACTTCACTTGACAATCACTGACAAATAACTATTAAATCATTAAATTCATTGTTGCAGAGAACTGAGATCCCAACCATCGCTTGTAGAAGTATACAAACAGCTAAAAAGCTGTTCAACAAAGTCGTCAATTACGTCGTTTTCATTACCTTATGTTGATTGTTTACATGGTTTATAATCTTGTTTTTACTGACGATTTGATTTTTGTAGATCTTCTAGACCAGCGGTGCCGTTTCACAGCACGTGCAGCAGTTTGGACTACAAGGTGAAGCTCCACCTGTAGCAGCTCCCGAGCATAAATTCAATTCAGTTCATTTACATAGCACCATGTCACAACAGAAGTCATGTGAGGGCATTGAGCAGAAACATTAGTGGGGTGAACGTTTGTTTCCTGAATCGCTAACAGCACAAATATTTTACTATTTTAGAAAGATTGGATATTTCTAACCTACAAACCCCTCAACAACCTAGCTCCATCTTATATTACAGAGCTTATTGTTCCATATTTTCCTAACAGTTCACTTTGCTCTCAGGCTGCAGGTTTACTCGTGGTTCCTAGTGTTTCCAAAAACAGAATGGGGAGGGAGGTCTCAGTTATCAGGCTCTGGCTGCTGTAAACAATTATTTTAGTAATTGAGCAATCTATCAATTATTCTGGGGATTAATCGAGTAATCAAAAACAAAATTTGTCAGGTTCTGCAGTAATTACTTATTTTATGAGAAATACAAATACACGAAAAAGAACCATTAATTAAACAACCCGTTTAATTCTTCTTTAAAAAAAAAATGTTATTGCTTAAAAATGCAATAACGTTGAATCAGTTTCAAGTCTGTGGTAGAGCAAAACTTGATTTTTCTAAAATGCAAAAACAAGAGAAATTAAAAAATACATTCACTTGAAATAGAAAACAAATTAAAACAACAATAGTAAACAATGCCTTTTATATATTCAGCTTGAAAGTCTGAGGTATAACAAAACCCACTTGTACGTCTTCTAGGGTAGAATGAAAGATTTTCTCTTTTTCAAAGCAAACATATACTGAACGTTATTCTTGCAAATAAGACCAATTTGTTTTTCTTAAACGTCTCAACACACAAGTGTATGTGTTTGACTGTTGCTCAAGTCTTTAAAGGAGCCTACGGTTGCAATGGAGGAACGTGAGCATGTCGACGTGCTCTGAACCGAGGCTTGCCCTGCGCTTCGACGCAACGTTTCCTGCTGCAGAAAAAAGGCGTTCTGATGACGTACATGTCGCTGGGACACACAGAAAGGACTTTGCAAGCTTGGACAGTGTTGGAAAACGTGATGCATTTGATTTCCGCCATAGCAGCGGACTCTCCCTCCTGGACAGTGCATGCTCCTCAAAGTACATCATCAAGACCTCCTTTTGGACAGTTTGGTTCAAATGCTGCTCCTCGTCCTCTTCATCACTTTTACTGGAGTCAGAACACAGTAGATTGGTGATAAATGAGGTAGAGCTCCTCTGATGCTTTACAGGCTCGTCTTGTGCTGCACTGGGGACTTCATTTTCACCTGAATTTTTCTGTCTCATGTTCTTTTTGACCTCAAGTGCCAACGTTTGTACCATGCTTTTGATGTTAAAGGCTTCACCAGGGGGCAGGAACTTGAGTTTATTAAATCTGGGATCTAAAGCAGCAGAAAGCAGGACAGTGTTCGAGGACTGAGGCCGATACATAAACAGTCCTTTCCATTCCGTTGTGATCTGTGTCATCACATCAGCCTGGTATGACTGGGCAGGTCCAGTCTCAAAAACGTGGGCCTGCATGGACTTCTTGAGGCTTTGCACAAGTTGTGGAAGTGCAGAGAGAGCAACGTAGTTTTGCCCACTCAGAAACACCGTTGCTTCTTCAAATGGCTCAAGAGCCTTGCTTACCTCCTCAATAACGTTCCACTGCTCGGGCTCAAGATTAAGGTGGCGTTTCCCTCTTGGTGTCAATGCTGGGTCAGATAATGCAGCAGTTATCGGCCATCTTTGCTCCAGCAGCCTGGACAGCATGTGGAAAGTACTCTTCCAACAAGTGCTTACGTCTTGTATGAGCATGTGTGATGCTGTGCCCATTTGCTGCTGCTTATCCTTCAGCTTCGTGCAAGCCACTTCACTTTTTTTAAAATGTTCAACAAGACATCTTGCAGCTGCCACACACTCAGAGATGCTGCACCACCAAGTTCAGGGTGTGCCCTGCACACTGCACAGATGCCCACTTATGCTTTTCTGCCAAAATCTTCACTGCTGCTACAATATTGGCACCATTATCATGGACGACAGCTTTGACTTTCTCCGGTGGAACATCAAACTTTGCGATAGCATCCTCAAGCCACTCTGCAATATTTGCTGCTGTGTGTCTTTCTTCAAGCAGCATTGTTGTCAGCCTGTGGGACTCCAGTTTCCAGTCCTCCCCATGAAAGTGGCACGTCACTCCAAGATATGCCTCTGTGGCAACACTTGTCCAAATGTCTGTTGTGAGAGCAATGCTGTCAATCTCTTTTAGGATGTTTTTCAACTTGTCTTTGACTTCTTCATACTTTTCCTCCACTAGTTTCACAAAGTAGGATCTGCAAGGAAGGACATAATTTGGATTGAAGGTGGAGATCATCTTCTGGAATCCTTCATCTTCCACCACAGAGAGCGGCTGCATGTCTCTGATGAGCATATTTAAAATGCTGTTTGTAAATTCAGCTGCTGGCACAACTGAACATCCTGGAGGTCTTTGTATGAAGCTGTCCAATGTTTGACTCTGCGATTTACTGAAAAGAAGTATAATAAAATTATTATTTGTGTTCATTGTTATGCCTTAATAAATATATTTCAAATGTACTTTATTGGACATTATAAAATTATTTAATATTGTTAAGGGGTAGTCTACACTTTCTGATGACCATGCTGCAACCAAAGTAACAGTGTATTTGATTTATGCATTTTAAACTTTTATTTATGTGTGAGGTTTGAGGATGCTTTAAAACCCTTTATCACTGAATTATTTTTAACCATCACAGAAAAATCTAAATGCTGTAAAATAATTTTTATAGATATATAGATTTGAGTTTTTGTACATCGAGTTCTGCAGACTTACTTGTAAATGGTAAAAATACTTTGCTAGTTTTATTAAAACTGTATTAGTCTTGATTGCTTGGCTATAAACAAATATGACAGTAGTAATAAATGAAGATTAATCCCAGTTTTCAAAGTCATAAACGGCAGTAGCAAGAAGATAAAAAATCCTACTAACTTGTGTAAATACACTTACACTTGAAATATTCACACTAAATATCCGATTTAAGTCAGGATGAAAGTTCAGCAATAAATAAGCGTGTTTTGGAGACTTTTAGAGGCTGCATGTGAAGACACTAATCATTCTGCAGTCGCTGTCCTCAGCAAGCAGCAAGTGCTGCTGTAAGCCCCGCCCCCTCCCAAAGCTCCAACAGATAATAGACCTAGCATGTCTGAGGAAAAAGTCATTTTGTGTATTGCTCCTTCATCTTTTATTTGCTGCGTTTAATTCACGTTCAGTCTGCTCCAAGTTGACTGATAATTTATCTTCTAAATGCAGCAGCTTTTGCTTCAGCTATTCCTGCATCACACATATGATCGATCATTTGAAGTCTCGACTTGAGACTATCATTTATTTAGAAACAGAATCAGAATAAACTTTATTGGCATTGCACCAAGATACAATGCAAATATGTACATACAGTCGTCCGAAAGATGGGCGAAGTGCATGAAGCTGCGGCTATAAATAGCGCAGCCTTCTTATTCTTGTTTGTTTTTAATAAATGAGCTAAAACCAGTAGAACGTGTCCGTGGCTGAATAATTTCTGCCCTAATGAGACTCTGTTGGAGCTGCCTGCAGTTCTGATCACTGCCAACAAGATAAATCTACAGATGAACACGGACGATGACCTGTACCGCCTCATAACTGCAAATATGTAAAAACCTGAGTATGAATAATAATAATTAAAAAAACATCTAAATTCCACTAAAATTGTCCAAATTGTTGAAGAACACAGAACAAAACAAGGCAAGCTACGTAAATGATTTAAATCAGGGGTGCCCATATCGATCACAATGAGTGGTAGATCGCAGACTGTTCTCTAGTTGATCGAGAGATTTAGAGAAAACAACTTTAACACCCCTAATGTTTAATGTTTATTTTTGGCTGCATATCAACCTACCCTACTAGATGCAGTTAAATCATCCTTAACAACAACAAACGGAAAAATACAATTTTTCGTCCCAACACCAAAGGTAAAGGTGCCACAGTAACTGGACCTGGTCAGCCGCGGTCACCAAACACAAAATGTCTTTCAGCAATGGTGAGGTTATTTAAAAATGAGTTTACTGAGGCTGCACATGCACTTTTCTGTTTTCTGAAAAACAAGTCAGGTCTTGGCTGCCCTTAAAAATGTGCTGTTGTCTCAGAACACCAGGATACAGAATTATGAATGTCAACAAAACAAGAGAGCTCATCATTAACTTCAGGAAAACAAAACCACATCACATGCCACTGCTCATAAATAACAGAGGTGGAGGAGAGCACCAGGTTCCTGGGGGTGCACATAACCAATCAGCTGTCTTGGTCAAGGTCCCAAGTGAAGAAAGCCCAGCAATATCTACACTTCCTCTGTAAACCGAAGAGATCACACCTCCCACCCCATGTCCTCACCACATTCTACAGAGGAACCATCAAGAGCATCATGACCAGCTGCATCTCAGTTTGGGAAGGAAGCTGTCTGGCTGCAGACTGGAAGGATTTGAGGAAGATGGCGAGAATAATAAAGATTATGACACCCCTCCCATCCACCCATGTAGGAGGACATTGGTCTCAGATGCTGTCTGACCAGAACAAATAAAATCAAAAGAGACAACTCACACCCACGATATGGACTTCTCTGTTGACCTCTGGCTGGCAGGGGGTACGGCGGCGCAGACCGAAGACCAGAACCACCAAGTTCTGCAACAGTTTCATCCCATGAGCTAATGGACTGCTGAACTCAGGTCACAAATAAAGTGACCACAATGGCAAACACACACGTTTTTTTGGCCTGGTCAAGACTTTCATGGGGCAGTGTCCACTGCTTGGCCATGCGCCTTTTTCATGCCCACTGGCATCAGAAGCATTTGTAAAGTGTGTGTGTGTGGGGTGGGGGTGGATTACACAATTTAAAATAAAGTAGATGTCATTTCCTGCATTATGGTGTATTTTAATGTGTTGTTCAACATCTACAATTACCTACATATGTAAAGATTTGATTCAATAAATATTTTGTAGACAGATTCCTCATTCAACTACTAGTCCATGATGCATCATCCTGTTTTTAAACTCACTCCTATAGCTAATGACATTATTGTGACCCAATTTATCACCACCATGACTTTAGGGATCCACTTGACTTTTATTTGTTTATTTTTAATTTTTATTTGTAACCCAACATGCCATTGTGCTAAGCAATGGTGACACTGAACTGCATGTTTAAAAATAAGTATCAACTTTACCCAACGACCAGGTGACATTGTAATAAGCACCAACAATGAATTTAAGGGGTCTTTTTACGGTTTTCTGATTTAGCGATAGGCCTACTCAAAACATAAAATGACATGGCATCATGCAGCCTTCACAACACTAAATTACACTGTGCCAAGGAATAGTCTCACAGACACACACACACACACACACACAAAACGCAACGCAGTCTCAGTAGCTAAGATGCTACAGACATAGCGCTCTACTTCTCTCAAGCATCCTAAGCACCCCCCACTCCGAAAACTGCCTGCACTAACGTAGCAGTAACACGCAACACAATCTCCCTCTCCTCCCCACACCCCATCAACAAAAAACCCTGAAGAGATGAGTGTGCTGCTTAGCCAAGTGACTGAGAAGAAATATTTCTTAAAAGGGAAATTATGCTATCTACCACACCCTGACACGCCCACCCTGCCCCCACAATAAAAAAAAAAAAAACATACAAAAACTCTTCGGATCTACAAGATGACATACTTTAGTATGAAATCGGCGAATTTTGCCAAAAAGCGATAAGTTTGCAGGTACATGTGTGATTAGGTGTTGAACAAGGTTGGACTGCGACGGTCTCATTTGAGCCTGCAGCCTGGAGGGACTGAATCCTTACAGATCTGCAGATTATACCATTATTTAAATTAGAAGCCCCTGGTAAGAGTGAGGAAGACTCTGAATGCAGAAATGCATCATAACGGCTGCGGGCAGGATGTCACTTAGATGTAAAATAAATTTAAAGCAGAGTGTTTGAAAAATCTGTGAGCCTTTCTCTGTACTTCTGTAGTCATGAAAAATTGAGTACAACATGTATACCATAATTTACAATCCGTAAAACTTGACATGTATGTAGGAATATAACAAAGTCAAAGTTTCTTTATTTGTCATTCACATGTGGTGAAATAAAATTGTGTACACAGGGTCCCAGTTACATCCAACAAAAGTATAAATTGTAATAATAATATCTAAGATATGAACTAAGAAATACGCTAAACTAAAAATACGCTAAGCACTAATAGTACAAAAATAATACGCCAAAGAACAGCAGCATTGTGTTTATACAAGTCGATCTCAGCAAACTGGCAACTTGAAAAGCAGATTTTAGTTCAAAACAGTTTGGGCACCCCCGATTTACAATATTTATTAGTGGCAAATTATTTATTTTATATTTTGTGTGGGGCTCTTAATTGCTGCCACTGGGATCCACTGGTCCAGGTTGAATTTACCCATAGCAGCTGCAGCTTTGCTACATTTCAAAAGCTCTTAGAAAGTAAACACTTCAGCTTTCAAACAAGATGAGAAATGAGGCCGACAGTAAACATCTTTGCTCATTTATAAAGCTCAAAGCAGAAAGAGATGTTTCTCTAAGAAAAGCATAATTTATGTCTTAAATAACAGATACTTAAGTAGTGGTGGACTTAAATTCAGTCCCATCAAGTAAAAACAGTTCTTCAGTAGTAAATGAGTGAAAGAACTCACCAGTGTTCAATGAGAACCTGTGGTCCTTTCAGGCCACTCTCCTCCTCTCCTTTCTCCTCCTCTCTTTTCTTCTTATCCTCCTCAGATTGAACTTCCGCTTTGCGCTTCGTCCCTCGACGGCCTGAACAATTATTGGTATTAAAAACATTTATTATTAAGCATTTTGATCAACGAGAGGGCCGAGCAGCGTAGAGTAAAAACGAGGGCCCCGTCGTTGAACAAAAGCTTTGAACGTCAAAAGCTGTCGTAACAGCCACGATGAAAAGTCTGACAAAATGTGATAAAACAATCAACGTAGCAAGAGTGTGTAACTTTTGTAAAGCAGTTCGCACGATGAATTAACAATGAAGTCTTCCAATAACGGACACCAACCTGCTGCTTTGGACGCCATGTTTTTAGAAGTTTTCGCGGGCCACTGGACTGTACCAACAACCCGCTTATCGATGGGGGGGAATTCAGTTTCATGGATGAACCCATTAACATGAGGGCAGGGGAAGTTTTACCTTTTGTTTTTCAATAGAAATATTATAATACCTGTACATGTAAGATTTACATTTAACACAGATTAACATACAAAAAGAGCCAAACAAAAGCCACCATTACCACTCAAACAAAGGTTTATGAAGATTGTCGAAGTCGAACATCCGGGTACGTGACCACACTTTACAAAGAGGACGCCATATTTGTTTGGGGATAAAATTGTTAAAAGTTGCTGTGCGAAGGTCCGCATGCCTATGAAGGAACAAAAAGTTCTTAATTTTCCATTTGTTTTATTTAGATCAGAAGATGCTTCCCAGTAGGCCTATTGCTGTATTTGTCAAATAACCCACAATAAGAACATAAAATCCTGACATCCTGTTCTGACTTTAATTGTGTGCCATCCCTGGATTTTCAGTGGCTCCAACATGAGATCAAAACCAACAAAGTCCATGCTCAATAATCCAGGTATACAATCCAACAATTTTCAGTTAGGTCATCTGGACAGGTGACCTGACTGAAAATTGCAGATGACCTGACTGAAAATTGTTGGATGAGATCAAAACCTTTCAAGAGGTGCCACTGTAGTCAGTGATGATGTGGACCTGCATGTCACACAGGGAAGATGACAGTCATTAAATCTTTAATAAATGCCAAAGTCTACATTGAAATTGTGGACGCTTATTCCATCAGTCGAAAGGGATGAAGGTGACTTCATTTTTCAAGATGACAATGCATCTCGTCATAAGGTGAAGGGCATCTAAACTCTCTGTTAAGGAAGCCACAAAGTTATGGCATGACCTGCAAATATTCCAGATCTCAGTCCAGTTGAAATCTAGTGGAAATAAAAGAAAATGGTCAATGATGACCAGCTTGTAAAGCTGGTGTGACAACAGCAAAGAGACAGCTGGAGCCAGACTGATGAAAAGTACTGTTTGTTGTCATTAGTTAGGCCCATGCCTTATGGATTACCGTATTTGTGTGTCAGACCATAAGAGATGTGCATGAAGATCCTTCTACATTTTCCAAACTGAAAATCTGTGCAACATCTCATGAAAAATACTAGAACGGATTATTGTATAGTTAAGCTATTGTGCTTCCATACTTTCATCGTTCTCATAGTCCATAATAAATCCTGACTTGTTTGAATTAGCAGAAGGACAGTTTACAAAACAAGCTAACAGGAAAGGAGGATAAAGCCTTTCAGAGCAGCAGATGGTGTCTGTCTGCTTCAAAGTCAAGAACCAATATGGTGATCCCGGAATAGACATTTCGATATCTGTCACTGTGTATATGACAGTGACTTTTTTTGGGCATGGAAAGTTGGTTTCCAAAAGACGTCACAGGATGCATCTTTGCCAGAAAAATACAGCCGCCCAGAGCGAGGTGGAGTGACTCACAGGAGCACATCTAATAACTGTTCCATTGTTCTTTAGTTAACAAACTCTAACTCACACTTCTTGGGTGCATCATCACTTGCTGTCTTTGGCATTGACTGTGTTTTTTGTGAATCACACCAGGCAAATAGGATACATCAAATCCTCTGTGTTTCTTTGGGTCTTTGTGTGTGCAGTCCTTAGTCTGTGTTTGCAGCCTGTCGAGGAGTATTTTTAGCTGTTTTGCGTAAAAGCTTCATCGGAGCGGACAGACCACCAGACAGATGTGCCCTCCCTTCACCTTGCACTTCACTCTGACTCAGGACCAGACACTGTGGCTGCCTCCACACATGGCAAACAATCATGCTAAATACATGTTTATGTTTCTGCAGAAAGGAAGAGAAACACCAGAAGACAAATACTTAATGAATTCAGCTCTTCTTGTGGATGTTAGCTGTTACCTCCACAGCAATCATCGCTCAACTGATGATGGTTTGTTACAAGATTTATTCGTTTAATGATCTTATATGGACTTCTTCAGAACTGTTTGACTTCTAAACACACACACACACACACATATATATATATATATATATATAAATTAAATGTTCCTAGCCTTCCTTAGTTACATATCAACTTTCATGCCATAGTTTTGGACTAAGACGTTCTTATGATGAGTTGTAACCATTTTAGTCCATCCATCCATCCATTATCTTTTACCCGCTTCTTCCATTTTAGGTCATGGGGATCGCCGGTGCCCATGTGTACAGCAATCACTGTGAGAGGGGAGGTGTACACCCTGGACAGGTCATAAGTCCATCACAAGGCCACATAAAGACAAACGAGACAAACATCCATTCAGTCTCACTCACACCTAGGGACAATTTAGAGTTACCAATCAGCCTAACATACATGTTTTTGGTCTGTGGGAGGAAACTGGAGTATGCAGAGAAAACCCACGCATGCACGGAGAGAACATGCAAACTCCACCCAGAATGGCCTCCGAACTGGGATTTGAGCCGGGGACCTGCTCGCTGAGAGGCAGCAGCTCTACCAGTTGCGCCACCGTGCTGCCCTACATTTTAGTCAAATCTTCAAAATAATGTCATGTAAAATCTCAAGCATTATTATGAGATGCAATGCTCAGACCAAGTGTTGCAAATGACTCTCAGCAACTACCACATTAAACTTTAGCTTAGCTTCTGTTAGGGTGACTGAGTTATATACATTTTTGTGTTGGCTGGTGTTGATTAGCTGAGGGGGGCATTTTGAATGGGACTGTGAAAATGAATCATTTGTAGATGCACATCCAATCATTACTTTCCAAAAGTTTTATTTGTTTTATTCTGTGGTTCAGGAGATATTTTGCTAACAGGGTTGACCAGGAGAGTTGTTGTTAAAGATTTTGGCAACAGCTTGTGCAGCAGAGCATACTGGTATGTGCTTGAACGACTCTCAGCCACCATCACATTAATTTTAGCACAAAATTTTTTGTATAAATAACACTTCTGTACGTACTACTTAATACTTTAACATGTTTTACTTTGATACTGTTTTATAAATTCTGTATGTTTTCAATAAAAAGTCAACTGTTGTACAAAGTTTGTTGTACTATAAGCATCGGATAAATTTTGAAATGTTCAAGATGCTTAAAAATCAAAATAAATTAACGATTACATTGCACTAACTGGTGTACTTTGGTTTCTAAGCACAGCATACCCACTACAAAAATGTGGACTACACCACTGATCTTATCTCTAAAACTAAGCTTGGCCAAGCAGAAGCTAATTTCAGCTGCTTGTATCCAGAATCTCTTTCTTCAATCATAATCCATACCTTATGAGCACAGTTGAGGGTTGGAACAAAGACAGACCAGTAAGACGAGAGTGCCTTAGACTCACTTCTAATATGTTTCAGACTGGGCACATTTCTGAGTCAGAGATTCTTTATTGTCGTTTGCACCACATGTGATACATGTGGTGAAATTAAATCATGTACGCAGAGTCCCAGTCACATTCAACAATAAAATGTAAAAGAAAAACAGTAATAAGAGCTAAGATTTATGTTATCCATTGTGTACAATAAAGTTTTTTGTCTTTTATCAAGTGTAGCGCAACCCGCCATAATTCAATTCACGGTTTCTGTGAATTTACATAACACTGAGTTGATGTGGGTGGGATCGTCATATAAAGGCTTCTTGACACTTCTCTTGTGTCATTTTTTGGTGACACCCAACAATGGAGGACAGCGAGGTCATGGTATGTCTGGTGCCCAGTCAGTCGTCAATAAACATTTAAATCAATAGGACAAATCAAGTTGTGCAGCTGTAGAAAATGTCGGTTTTGAAGCAGTGACTCATCTAGTGATGTGGCTAACTGGCCAGTCAATGGTCTGCAGTCTATGATGGGAAATCATCGGCACAGCGTAGCTCACCTGAGACCTTGGAACCGAGTTGAAAGCAGGTAGGATCACCCAATGGAAAGCCTCTGAACTGGCGCTGGGTTAACTTGAGTAGCCCATAGGAAAAGCGCATATCAATCAACCTTTATTTATACAGGTAAATCCCATTGAGCCTCGAGGACTCATTTACAAGAGAGACCTGATTTCAACAAAGAAAGATGACAACAATGGACAACAGCAACAACAATAAGCAGTTATAAAAACTCATACTACAGTTTTTTTTTTATTTATTTATTTTTTTAACAAATAGGATGGCTAAATGGAAAAAGGTAACAAAACAAAAAACAGCTAGATTCCAAGACAAATGTAGAAAACTAAAAACAGGAACATGTCTGCATTGGACCCTGCCAGGAGTCCAACAGATTCTTAAAGCCACTTAGAGAGGTCAAGGTCGAAAGCTTCAAATCTTTTTGTAAGATATTCCAGGAAACAGGAGCGGAGTAGGAGAAGGCCCTTTTGCCTAGTTCAGTCCTCACTGAGGGAACACTGCAGGTAATAATGTCCTGAGAGCGCACTCCGTAGCTGCACTCACGCAGAGACATGTAGGAGGAGATGTATGAAGGCAGCAGACCAAGAAGTGATTTAAAGATGAAAATGTACCAGTGAGAGAGTCTGCGTGAAGTTAATGATGACCAGTTAACCAGTGAATACAGGGTGCAGTGGTGGGTACGATAACCACAGCCAGTTATGCATAAAGGATGTTAAGTATATTATACCGGCACATCTACAAAACTCTTGAACTCGATAATATGTCTGAATCGGATGCAGTTTTGATTGCTTTGTTTTGTTGTTCAGTCAGTTATTGGAGCGGTTTGCTGCCTTGCAGGATCAGGTTTACACTTCTGGATAATGGAGGCTGGCCAGACTAACAGCGCTGCAAAACATGTTCATCAATTATGGAAGCAAATGGTCACTTGTCAGTCTGAGGGCAGCACTACAAGCCAACGCCATTTTGTACTTTCTAACTTTTTTAAAAGCTAATTAATCTATTTTATTCATTGGAAAGTCTTTCTGAGTCTGCTTCATTCCTTCTTGGGTCTTCTGACGATGCCTTGATTCATCTGATGCAAATAACAGCAGGTGAACGTCAGCAAACAGCCCAGCCATA